ATGTTGATCATTATAGACTTCTGAGAAGACGTGTCCATCCGATTTATCCCTGGAAATTCCAAATGGGTTCTGAAGAAATGTGGTACTGGATATCCATACGGAAAATTGTATGGAGAATTTAATTTTTGTGCTACAGGGAAGTAAAAAGAGGATGAGATGAGCAGGGCATGTAGCCCGCATGACAGAAAAGAAGAATGCATACATGTTTTCGGTGCGCAAACCAGAAGCAAACAGACCACTAGCAAAACCTAGACTAAAGTGAAATAATATTAAAATGGATCTTAGAGAAATAGGATCGGACGGTATGGACTGGGTACATCTGGCTGCCTGTTGTGAACATGGTAATGAACCTTTGGGTTCCATAACATTTTGGGAATTTTTTGAGTGGCTGACCAACTGTTGACTTCTCAAGAACGACTCGACTCCATGGAGTAACTGTATCCAATCCCATCCACAAAAGAAAAATATGTTAGCGGAAGTGATGGGGAAATAAGTTACGAAAAGTATAGTATGTCTCAATGTCATACTTTAGTGTTTGCTCATGGTAATAGTTATTTAGTTGTACACTTCCAATAAGGGCAACTTATAAATCAAGTAGCTTTCTTTAAGGATGTACTTATGTCTTCTTTGTACAAGGATTATAGAATAAAAACTTTATGAAGACATAGTGTCTGTACTCAGTGGATTTTTATATAATTTTATGTGGGGATGAGGAAAGATGTCTGCATTAAAATCTGTTGAAAATTTAATTTTCATAATATTCAAATTCAACTTTTTATTATTGTCTTGAAAATGGATCATACAGAAAATTGTTGCATGACATAATAACACTGACCTTCTTAAAATTTACTCCCTTTAATTTTATAAAACAAAGACATATTTCTTTGATGCTCGATATGAAGGGTTTACGTCAAAATGTCTATTGTCATTTGTCCTTACTAGGCATCAATGGTGTATGACTATGAGGTAATAACATAGTTTTAGAACAACAGGTTTTTATTTGTAATAAATAAATATACAGAACAACGTAGCATGCTAAATCGAATTCAGCAAGTTTGTACACTCAAAACTGAATATCTTCAGTTATGGCTACATTTATGAAGGTGAAAAGCAGTGAAGTACAAAGTCAGGAGATTCTGGTAACCCAACCACAGAGAAATTCTCCACTAAACAGCCAGTTGACTACATTAAGGTGCACATGTCAGATTTTCAAATTTTAAATATTAAACACCTGAATTTATCTTACTTCCTTTAAAGCGATGAAAGGAATTGATATTATTAATACCAAGCACAAAAATAAATAAGAAGATAACTTTGTTGATACATCAATTTTAGTCTTCAAAGAATGAAATGTATTGATCCCAATCATGTTAACCTCTTTCAAATTGCTCTGTTGCTGTATGCATAGCAAACACAATGTCACTCAAGTTGACCTATTTATATTTCAAGAGTATAAAAAAAACATGGCATACAAGGTTTTAAGATTATGTTTTAAGAGGATCAGAAACTTTTCTCCTTTATTGTCTGAAGATACTGCATCAAATATGCAAATATAATCACTTCATTGCTTTTCGAATGCAAATTACCTGGCTATCCCTGCAGTAGGTAATGCAGCTCGTGTTATCAGTGCTTTGGCAAAGTGAATCTGATTTAAAATACTGTTAGTAGCTCAGATATTCATGAGAGAAATGTGTGCTTTGGCAGGTTTAGTATGACCTGACATACCTTCCACCTACAAAGAATTTCAAGCACTAATTCACATTGCACATAACTTCAACAAGTGCTGTAGCATATGAAGCTGTCATGGGTAATTTTCATCACTATCAATACTTATGTCTCAGAAGAATTCTTAAACCTTAATCAAACTAAACTAAATCCATGAAGCAGATTTCTTCTTGAGAAGCTAATAGTTGTTCAGCTAGTTATTTCACTGCCTCTTTTTTAGCACTTGAAGATATATTATCATGTTCACAACATCCAAAATGAGCCGGGATAGCTCAGTCAGTATAGTGACTAGCTATGGGCTGGGCGATCGGGGTTCGATCCCCGACGGGGGCAGAGGATTTTTCCTCTAGTCTCTGCGTCCAGACCGGCTCTGGGGCCCACCCAGGCTCCTCTACAATGGGTGCCGGGGTCCTTTCCAGGGGGTAAAGCCGGCCGGGGCGTGATGCTGACCACTCACCCCCATCTAGTGCCGAGGTCAAGGAAGAGAGGAGCTATACCTCCTCTCACCCCAAACGCCTACATGGCGTATAGTGGGACAGCTTTACTTTTACTTACAACATCCCAAAACCAATTCCATGAAGCAGATTCCTTGTTGAAAACCTAACAATCACTCAGCTAGTCATGAACTTTCTCACCTTCTACTGAACCCAAAAGTTTCTGACGTTTTCACAAGAGCATGTACCTGGTCTGCACCCTGCCTTTGTTGAATCCAAAGATGCCTGTCTTCTCAGTTGTTTCAATGTGTAATCTGGTAGAAGTTTACCAGACTACACGGCACAACAACACAGAAGACAGCCATCTTCAGATTCACAGCCAAGAAAAACTCAAATCCTACTTCACTGAATCCAGACCACAAATTCACACCCTATTTCTAACACATCGATGCTAATATTGTATTCCCATCTATGCCTAGAACTTACAAATGGTGTCTTTCCTTCAAGATTTCAACTAAGAATCTGTATAAACTTTTTTTAACTCCACTGTTACTGGTACATACCCCAACCATCTCATCTTCCTTCATGTGATAGCCATAAAAATATTTGATGAAGGCTTCAATCTAACGCAAGTAACTCTTATTATATTGTACAAACACATATTAAAAGTACTCATGGTTGGCACAGTGCACTTTGGGGTCTTAGATGATTATACATGCTCATCTTAACCCTATGCAATCGCAGCTAATTTAAGTTATTCCTGCTCTCAGGTTACATGCTTCTTGGAAAAAAAAACCATGTTGCTAATACTCTGACATCCAACCATGGCAGCATATTCAGCATGCCAATTATGCAGTGTACATACAGTGTTTTTAGAAAAACTTGCAATAGTTCTGATGTGCAGTGTATTTGTAATTTTCTAGAGTAAAGAAGCATATGAAACATGCACGAAAACATTTCAATATGTCAGTTTGAATCAAATGACAGTAGAAAGGTGGACAGCTGATATTTCAAGTTAAAACACAGTTCTCTGAGTTATCTAAAAACAGTGTCCACCTTTCACTGTCTGTTGACCTATAAATGGTCATCAACTCAACTGCACAATTTGTTTATCTGCAAGTGATGTAAACAAGAACTTATAGATATTCAAACAATGCAAAGGAAATGGATTCCATTCCAGCATTACTATATTGTCTTCAGAAACAAAATGTTTAACGATCTAAGCATTAGGTATACTGACTGATGTAGCCCCTCTATGATTACCTCTAATAATGGTATGATGTCACTTACTGAGATTTTAGGTTCTCACAGCGGTGAGCATGAAGATGGTTATCTTCTGTGTAGTTGCGCTGTATAGTCTGGTAGAAGTGTACCATTGCTTGCTTCCTAAATCATCAGGCCAATCACACTACACATTTCAAGATCCCAGAAGACAGCTATCTTAATGGTGTCTCTTCTTTGCAAGCATATGCAAGCGTTATTTCTCAACATTGACTTCATATTATCATCGCATATTCCATCAACAAAACCTAATTAGCTAAGTTCTGGGATTTAAACCAACTACTGGTGATGTACGAGGTGCGATCGAAAGGTTTCCAGACTGCGCGTATAAAAACCCGTACACTTATCTCAGGTATTAAATTCATCCATCACCCTCGAAGTAGTTCCCCTGGGAGTGAACACAACGATCCCAGCGCCGCTGCCAAGCCTGGAAGCATCCCTGGAAATCTTTCTTTGTCAGCCTGTCAAGCACCATCTGCGATTCTGCCTGAATCTCTTCTATTGTCTCAAATCTCCTTCCCTTTAGCTGAATTTTCATCTTTGGGAAGAGGAAGAAGTCACACGGCGAATAAGGAGGGGGCGGGATGACGGCCATTGTGTTTGAGGCCAAAAACTGCCGAACTTTGAGGGCGGTGTGCGCTGGCGCGTTGTCTTGATGCGTCGCATGTGGAGTTCTTCCTTTAGAATCAGCTGACAGGTCCCAACAATGTCGCACAAGTCGTTGATGGTACGACGTCGATCTTCGTGAATGGCCTGCCGAATCTTGGTAACATTTTCGGGCGTTGTGCTCGAAGATGGTCGTCCAGAATGCTCGTCATCATCGACAGGGGTTCGGCCCTTTTTAAAACGTGAATGCCACACAAAAGTTTGTGCACGACCCATTGCGGACTCCCCAAATGCTTGCTTTAGCATTTCATAGGTTTCCGTAGCCGTTTTGGCGAGTCTTTGGCAAAATTTGATGCACACGCCATTCCGAAATCGCAGGAGGGTCGGTGTAATGCACTACGAAAACGCCCGTAACTAAGAAACAAATGCTAATTCGATGATGCCGGCTGGCACACTGATTCACTATGAATATAGGCCGCAGCCCCTAGCGGCAGAAGCTCGTACTACATTCGGTTCGCCCTCTATTGACACAGTCTCGAAACTTTCCGATCGCGCCTCGTATTCACTGGTTCATTTTATTACATAACGTGCGCTAAACTACAGACAGTTTGAGGTACTTCTTGATAAAATCAAAAGTGAATCTGGTAATATTGTGCACTACTCTGAAGTTCCTTGGTTTTGCAAAGGCAAGCTTCTTTGACTTTTGTCCTATTGTTTAGAAGAGGTCAAAGTTGTAGCTGAGCCACAAATTATTACATAGCTCAAAGTTAGGCATATTTTTAATTGTAACTGTTCTGATGATCCCCCAGTTATAAGTATGATGTTAATTCTCATAATCTGGAATACTTCTGTCTTTGGGTCAACTGTTGAATCCCAGGACTAGGGAAGTGATGGATTGGTTGAGTGGTAGTATTTGAGCCATCACCGGTGGAATAAACTGCTAGTAGGCTTGAACCAAAGTGGTTTATTATTGTATTGAAGACAATGTTAAACTTCACTGTGACAACAGTTATTGCTGCTTAAGGCTGAAGCAGTAGCCGACTTCTTACTACAAGCAAAGTATCGTCCGACATGGACTAAACAGAGCTTCAAACCAGAGTACTGACGAGTAAGAGAGTGATCGGTGTCACGACTTGTAGTATTTATAGTGACCAATAAGTCATGTAACCTTGCTGGATATTTCCAGTAACTTTATGTTTCACAAGTACGTCTGTCCTTGAACATTGTGTCATCTCTCAGTTTGCTACCATTGTTTATTAATTTCTTATCCTGCTTTAGATGGAACTCAGACTTTTGAAATATATGTGTCAACATGTCTTTGTGTTACAAGTATATCTTGTTTTCTAATGTGTCTGAAACAACACTTGGAGAAAACAGAGTTATAATGTGTTACAAAACGGTTTGAAAAGAAGAAATACATCTTGTTATAGTCATTATAAATTACAGTGGATTAAATTATACCCGTACAACATACCAACAATGCCCATATACAACACAACATTCATAAGTAGCAGGGTTCTAGTGAGGAAATAAGATGCTCCAACTTTGATCAGTTCATTACTCTTAAGGTACAATTTGGCTGCACGCGACAGAGACAAACGACCGAGGCAGGCGACAAAGTACAATTACGAGCGCGAGACAAAGACAGGCGACAGAGACAAAGCACAGGAGACCGCTCTCGGACCAGTAGTGTCTCGCGACGGGCTCAGGCAGCACGTGTGTTGTTGAGTAAAATAATGGCAGAAATTAAATTTACTGGTGACCAAGATGAGCAATTGGTAGAATTAGTAGCAGAAAACCGACCACTGACCACCGACAGAAAGATCCTTCTTCACGTCTGGTTTTGAATATTGAACTCATAGGTTTTCTTTGTTTCTTTCGCAACAAATAACACAGCAACACATCATCTTCTTCGATTAACCTTTCTAGAAGCATTTTTGTACTCATTTTTCACAGAATATGTGCACGTATGTCCCAACAAAACAAAGAAAACAAACACTTTGCCGCATGTCTCGGTCGTCACCTCAAAAGTGAGTGGCGACAAGCTGCGATGTGTCCGTCTCCCGTCTCTGTCGCCTGCCTCGGTCGCTTGTCTCTGTCGCGTGCAGCCAAATTGTACCTTTATATTTACTCAGGTGGCTCAGAACTGAATATCAGAGCATAAAGGGACATTTTTGATGAGATTTTGACTGAGGTCACAGGAGATATTTTTATAATATTATGTACTACAGTAAAGTATGCAGACGACTTAGTAGTATTGGCGAAGGAAGAGGAGGAATTACAGAACATGATGGACAAGTTAGTGGAAACAGGTAGAGAGTATGGAATGGAAATCAACATTGAAAAATCAAAGGTAATGAGGATAGCACCGAGAGCAGAACCATTGAACGTTGTAATTGGAAACCAACAGATGGAGAATGTGGAGCATTTCAAGTACTTGGGAAGCATAATCACGACGGACGCTCTATGCACCAAGGAGGTAAAAGCAAGGATAGCCATGGCCAAGGCAGCTTTCGTCAAGAAGAGGATACTTCTCACTAGCAAGTTG